TGTAATGTCTCAACCTTGTACATGAACATACGGTGAAATTTATGTAGGTGTCCGAATTTTGAACGCTAATAATATTAAGCAAGTAAGACAGTTAAAATTCTATATAAATTTTATATTATGTTATAAATATTTACCTGTTCACGTAAGTTCTTATCAAAATTATAATTGGACAATTTGTAAAGAATTACTACTGTCTCATTTATCTGAAAATATATTAACATATAACAAAGGTTTGTAGTAAATCTGATAGCTATAATAAGATTTAGTCATTTCAAATACTTGACATGTGTAATTTCATTGTTGCATGTGTGCATAATATTCTAATTATAAATAATTATTAATGCCCATAATCTATTGTAACTATACCTCATAATAAATAGTTTGACATATGGAGTTTGATTTGAAAAATAAAATACTAAACAAACCGAAATTAAAACATCGATATAAATTCGCCATAATATTAGGAAACGTCCATATTCTCTGATGCTCTCCAAACACCTGATACATTAACAGACAAATCATAGTAGATTGTATAAAGTACCATGTCATTTGTAGTATCATTTGTATTTTGAACGCTACGTTTAGTTTGCGTGATATAAGGCATAGTTGTAGATGAACATGCCTGTAAACAAATTGTAATTGTTATAATTAATCAAACCGAGAGACATATACGAGAAGGACTAAGCAAAATACATTTTTAATGTAGAATTCGTTATAAACGATAGTGTTATAACTTGCGTTCACATTGTGTGATTATTTCACGTAATAGAAATTAATTATTCTTGTACATAGTATCAAATTATCTCGAAACGGAAAAGCGTATTTCAAATAAAAGTTAAACGATTTCGAGGGGGGGGGACATGTTTTTAAAATACTTTTGTTACATTGTTTCTTTTTTTAGGTGCAGGCACCCAAAAGATGTTAGGTGTACAATTTAAGGATGTATTATTCGTACAATTACTTCAAAGAAAATTAAATTTGGAAGTAAGTTTAATATTTACATTTCAAATATAATGTATAGAGGAAATGGAAGTAAGATGACGACCTAAAATTTGTCGTTTTTTCCTAATTTCTGTGATGAAGTAATGTGACTGATTTTATTTTTTTATAAGTTCACTACAGTCTTAGTTATCATTCGTAAAAATTATAAAGTTGTTTAATAAATTACAATTCTTTAAAATTTATATTTTTTAAGGACATGTCAAATTCGTCATCTTGCCCCCATATGTAGGTAAGATGACTTTTAGTAGTGGATAAGATGAAAAATCAATTTAGGTTAAAGGTATACTTTTTATGAGTAAAAAAAGATTGGGTTGAATTAAAACTATAAGAGATTGTGTATTATTACCTAAAGCCTTTAATGAGTTAAGCATCTGCTTTTCGTCTATTATTATCTTTAAAAAATTAACAATGCGTTATCTTACCCACTTCGTTATCTTACCTCATTTACCCCTACATATAAAAGTTGTGTGAATAAGATTATATTTTTGTCTAATAACGATTTTTTTATTTTATTTTAATTATTATTATTTTTAATCTAAAAATTAAAATTTTTTAGACAATAAAAAAATTTACATTTTTCTTTTATAAGTATAATACCTTGAAAGTTCACATAAAATAAATTGTACAATGTTTCATTGCGATTTACTGAATAGTTACAAAGACATGGAACAAATAAGTACAATATTTTGTTTATTCACTGAACAATTAGTTCATGCATCGCAATGTAACTCTACATAAATAATCCTGAATACATAACATACTTATAATAAAACTTATATTAAAAAATTGAAATTTTTATCATTCATTCTATATAATGCATTTCCACATATTTTTATTAGAGTACAGTTAAAAAAATACTACTATTTATTGAAATAACTTATGATCCAGATAGTAAACCGTCACATTTGTCGTATTATTTTTAAACGTGATTTAGAATAATCCGTAATTTCTTCATAATTTTGTTATAATTTTGAAAATATGTATAAAACATTCTTAATTCTTCGCCTCTATATTTAATCGACTATAGCACGTATTCAAATGAAAATTTTTTTCCATCGTATAGCTTTAAGGGGATTGTAAAGACGAATAGTCATATTGTAAATAGCACTTACACGCAATTTACGTGTAATCGATACATCACTACATACTATTGTACTTCATCAATATCTCACGCACACGTAAATTTACATATAATAATAATGTTCTACGTCCACACAATTTTGAGAATCCCACATTGCTTTTTCATGCAAACTACTAGTCTGTAGATTATTATTTCATAAATATAGATTGCACAGCTTTTATATGAAGCAAATGTTGTTATGACGTAACAACTCTGAAGCACCATATTGGACTAAGAAATAATTAAAAATATCTCAATTTTGAAAATTTTTGTCGTTCTGAGCATTAAGATTTTACTTCGCAGATGAGTATTAACGCGTATTCTTTAATTCTAGAAGAAAATTATCGAAACAGTAACACAGACAAAAGTAATTCTTATACAAAGATTACATGCGTTTCGGTAATACGGATGACTTTATGATTCATTTTTTTTTTAAGGTACCCGCCCTCACCCTGTTCAAGGGCGAAACAACTTTTCACATTATGAACGCGTGAACGTGTTTACTTATACTCTACAACATTTGTTGAATAATTTGTTGAAATTACTTATTTTATTTTTTCTATTTCATCATATACTGACTTAGCTACTTTTTTATTATTATATATTATTTTCGTTTTGGAAGCAGAGAATTTGTGTCTTCAAGGTAAAGAATTTATATTGTAAAGAAGAGAAAATGTGTTTTAAAGGAGTGAATTTGTGTTTTAAAGCAGAGAATTTGTCCGCTTTATTCCATTTGAAAAAGAAACGAAAAGTTAAGCATACGTTTATATTATCAACTTTATCTGATAATACCTTTTTAAGGAAGGACAAGCGACAACTAAAAAACCTGTAGAAGGTCATTTAGGGTCACGACTTTGACAATATATAGTATGTCAAGATTATTGAAATCGGCGAAAGATCGCATTTTTTCAAGTTTTATCACAAAAATACCTAGGCATAAGGAATAATTTTGTTAAACAAACAAGTATATGTTTTTTTTACACCAGATATATCACAGTATTCTATTCATAAAGGTATTAGGATATTACAATTATCAAAAAATTAATAGTTTATGATATTTAATGTGTCATGTCAATTATGCCAGAGAAATATTTCTATAATATCGCAAGTTATTGGTTTTCTTCTATTTCTAGCTTAATACTTTGATATGCAGAATGATTATAGAGAAATCATATTACGTCAAAAATCATATGGTTCCATTTTAAAAAGCGCAGATAAACATTACATCTTTTTCATTGCGTCCCTCATCGTATTTCTATCTAGAAAAGAATAACGTGATCATAATAGGCCTCTCGATGCAGTTCCACTTTCACAGAAAACATTTTTTAAATACTTTTTGAAATATGTCGAGTGAAAGTTAGATTGAGACATTCTGTATACCTATATACCTACATGCGAGTGCATGTGTGTACACAGTAATTCTATTAAATAATTATTACATTATAATCCATAAATATTGATTGTGATCCTTAGCTCCTGTTATCCGCTGATGTACTAAGATGGATCTATTTTGTCTTTTGTAATCTGCACTACTTTCGAACAGATCAGAATAGAGTGTATGTAAGAGATCATTGACTCGATGAAATCTGGAACTTGTGTATCTGAATTGAATGAGAAAAACTTAGTTATGCCTTTAAATAACATTATGACATCTAAGTTATATGTATATGCATATTCTAATTGCGTTTATAAGTAATCAGAAGTCTAAATTAGAATTTTTTTTATTACTTTTACGTTCCAATATAATATTTTATATATGAGTGGAAGATTTTTAAAATGTGTTTGCTTCAATATTTACATTATAATTCAGTTTCAGTTGTTTTAATATATAACTTCAGAAAACGAAAAGGAAGCCACCAGAAAACTACGCGCCTTACAGAAAATAACAGTTTGTCAATCAGTAAATTGAGAAATGTTAAACGAAATTGCTGAACAATTGCTAAAAACTAAAAACAACTGTATTTTGTTTGTTTTTAGTTAAAGGACCATGCCATTCTTTCTTTTTTTTTCGAAGACATTTTTCAGGATATCCGCAGTATATCCGTGGAAGTATCCGTTATCCGGTTGGATAACTGCTCTTCCGCACATCAAATAACGTCTTATAAGTTAGCGGAACAAAGTGAGCGGAATCGATTTTAACTAACATTTTTATTTGTTACTCATTTGTTGCTAAAACGTTGCCGAAAAAAAAAATTTGTTGCTCTGTCGGTTTATTTAAAAAAACTATGTTTCGATAAAAAAAGGAAGATTCAGTTAGCGGAACAATACCTACAACAAAGCCAATCTACGTAGAAATAACGTAGGAATTTGTTGCTAATTTGTTGCTAATTTGTTGCTGCCGAAATATCATTTTTTTTAATACTTTACATACTAAAAAAGTGTAACTAACAACGAGAAGCTTCAGCGTGAGGACGGAAGAAGAGTAAAGTACCAGTAAAAGATTTGTTGCTCGCTTAAAATTGCTACTGCGATGTCGTCCGAATTAGTTGCTTTTCAAATATGCAATTTAGCAATTTGTTGCTTGCAAAATACGTATAAATAACCACGTAAAATCTCAGCGTGCTGGCGGAACAAGAGTATAGTATCAGTAAAAGAATTTTCAGTACCAATTTTAAGCGATGTGGTGGTTATTTATACTTATTTTGCAAGCAACAAATTGCTAAATTGCATATTTCAAGAGTAACTAATTCGGACGGCATCGCAGTACCAATTTTAAGCGAGCAACAAATCTTTTACTGGTACTTTACTCTTCTTCCGCCCGCACGCTGAGGCTTCTCGTTGTTATTTACACTTTTTTAGTATGTAAAGTATTAAAAAAAATGAAATATATATATTTCAGCAGCAACAAATTAGCAACAAATTCCTACGTTATTTCTGCGTAGATTGACTTTATTGTTCCGCTAACTGAAACTTCCTTTTTAGCGAAACATCGTTTTTTTTAAATAAATCGACAGAGCAACAAATTTTTTTCTTTTCCAACAGTTTAGCAACAATGAGCAACAAATAAAAATGTTAGTTAGAATCGATTCCACTCACTTTGTTCCGCTAACTTATGAGACGTCATCAAATATCGAAATAGAATTTGATGCCGGACATCCGATATCTGGTA